AGATTCAGATGGAAAAACTTGCTTCAGGGAAGCTTAACAAAATCACTTTAGCATTAGAGGGGAAGATTCCAAGCAGGAGTCTGTTGGCTAAATACCACCCTCCCCCTTCCATTGTTTTCTGGGTTGCCTAGCGAAAATTCACCTGCCGTGTGTTCCACGTTTCCTCAATTACCTGCAAATTGCTTATTTTCACTTTTGAAATCTAAGATCCCCTTCTCCTTTGTCCAAAATGACACATACACCCAATTTTGACTCACCATCTTTGGGAATTTCATGCTTATGTGAATTCCCTGTGTGCACTATTAAATTTTTTACTTTCTCCTGTTAACCTGTCTCTGTTAATTTGCCCAGCTAGAACTTAGAAGGTGAGAGGCACAAAAATTGTTAGCCCCGCGAGTTTCAAAGTTGAATTTAGGTTAATGCATGTTGTTCCCTAGAGGAAAATTGCGATAACTCAAACTCAAATAAATTTATTAAGGGAGAGATGTCCATAGAAGATTCCACCATGGGAACAACCAAATGAGCAACTAAAAAAAAGTCAGAGTAAGTATCTCGGAGTAGTCTCTATTATAAGGTGATGACAAAGGAAATATATTTGCTAATACCAGGGCTATGTGGGCTCTTAGGCCACAAAAGTGAGGCTTGTAGGGTTGTCTTAAAAACGAGGCAGGCGAAATTTTCTTGTATTAAAAGGCGATTACAAACAGCTCATTTACTCAGGTCAACAAATCAAGTCATATTCCTTCTGAAATCCGAGATACCATGTTTATCATATACCAAGTCAACACTCAAAAAAAAAAAAAAATCCCTCTTTAGAAAAAAAATGTTTCAGAGGGAGGCAGGGAATCTACTCTCAATAGACACAAAAATTAGAAATCTGTCAAAAGGGCAGTGAAATCTAGACTTCGCTAGCACCGCTCATGTTTCGGAGACTTCTGTGACGCCTGAGAAACATGTTCAAGCAGCAGGGTCGACCTCGCTTTGCTCTCTCCGGCAGAGCTAAGGAAAGAAAGGGCGATATCTTAAAGGAGTCGACCCGTGTGGAGTTAAGGGGAATGCTGTCAGTGTACCAAACTCCAGAGGCTCAGGAAAGGGGTCAGCGCAGGAGCAAGGGGTGGCAGTGTCGGCGAGGGAGGGGCTACGCGAGGATGTCACAGACCCGCGCGGCGGCGACGCTGTCACGGGGCGGCCTCCCCTTCCCAGCCTCGGGCCCCAGTCACTCACATGCGGCGCCCGCGCCCCCTTGGGCTCCTCCCGCCTCGGGGACAGCCACCACCGGGCTAGGAAGCGAAACCGACAACTTCCTGCTTCCTGATGCGCAACCCGGAAGCAACTCCCCGTCTACAGACGAGGCTAAAGCCCCAGGGTAGCTCCTTCTTTCCGCCCCACGCTTCTACCGCTTCTGCCGCAAACAGAACGCGCGAAGCCACGGCGTACGCGGGAACTCTCGCGATATCTGGAGAGCATGGGTTCTTGCTCCCTCTGGCGTTCAGTTCTTTCTACTCAGTGTTCTTCAGACCTTGGCAATCTTTCACAGACTACGTACCTGAACTGATTCATTCAACAAGCATTTATTGAGACCCCTATTACATGCCAGGCAGCATGTTAGGCATTAAACAGTAGGCGTACAGGGATATATAAACAGACCTCTGGGACCTCCCTGTCTAAAAGAGAAAGACAAGCAAGCAACTCAAATTTACACAGGGCCCACTCAATATTTGTTGAGAGCTTACTCAGTGCCAGACATTACTAAGCACTTTATATTTGTGAAACAACCTCAACAACCCTATAATATAAAAAGCGCCACAACATTTATCCTCATATTAACCAAGCTGAAGTTTATGGAAAGGTTACTCTGCTGCGATTACATATGTGAAGAGTGGCTCAGTCACTATTTGACGCTGCGGTCCTTATCTTGCCCTGTCTTTAGAGCCAAAGATCTTAACTGCTTTCTACAAGAGCTCTGCAAACAAAATGTTACAGAGGTCAGACAAAGCTACATTTACAAAGGCAATGTGATATTGATGTAGGAATAGGCAAACCAATTAAACACAATAGAGAGACCAAAAACAGGACCACTCATAATAGACATTTGCTTTATGACAAAAAGGAGTGAGGAAAGGATAATGCTTCCAATAAATGGTGCTGGGTCATCCATATAAAAAAAAAAAAATGAAACGACTCTTATCTCACCATAAACTGAAATAAATTCTGTGAGCATAATAGATCTATATGAGAAAAACAAAACAATAAAACTTTAGAGCTGCTCTGTCCAATACCGTCACAATGCAAGTGACTATTGAGTACTTGAAATATGGCTAGTCAGAATTGAGATATTCTGTAAGGGATAAGATTGATAACATTGGACTACATTAAAATTAGAAACCTCTGATCATCAAAAGACACGATTAAGGGAACGAAAAGACAAGCTATAGAGTGAAAGAAACCAACAAAGAGCTTGTGTCCAAGATATATAAAGAACTCCACAAATAAAAAAAAAGAGCCAAATAGAAAAATGGGCAGAAGATTTGAACACAAAAAGATATCACGAAAAAGGATATCTAAATTGAAAACACATTAAAAAAGAACGTTCAACTTCATTAATCATTAGTTGTTAGAGAAGTGATTACTGAGATATTGTACAGGCTCTAGAAGTGCTTAAATGAAAAAGACTCACAACACTGAGTGTTGGCAAGGAAGCGGAGCCCCAGCAACTCAGGCACTGCTGGTAAGAATGTAAATTCCTACAGCAATTTTGGAAAACAATCTGGTGTTAACCACTAAGTTATAATATACACATAACCTATGACCCAACAATTCTGCTTCTAGGTCTATATCCCAAAAAATTCATGTATAGTACATGAAGATGCATACAAGAATATTTGTAGCAGCATTATTTGTAAAAGCCACAGTCTGGAAACATCCCAAATGCTCATTTACAGTAAAATAAATACATCGTAATATAGTCATGCAACAGAATACTACACTGCCAACATGGATATATCTCACAAATGTAATGCTAAGCAAAAAAAGCCAAATACAAAAAATATTTTATGACTGTTATATAAGTTTATGTTTCAAAAAGTTAGAAGTTAGAAAGTAGTTACCTTTGGGAAGTGGGGAGGGGTGCTGATTAGTTGGGACTTCTATGGAATTGGAAACTTTTTTTTCTTGATTCGATGATGGTTACACAGGTGGGTTATTTTTGTAATAATTGAACTGTCACTTAGGATCTGTCTACTTTTCGGGATGTATATTTCAATTAAAATTTTTACTTTAAAAAAAGTGATCTGGGGAGTCCAGATGTCCTAGAAAGCCCATGTCTTCCTGGCCCCTTCTGCTGCTCTGATGCAGGGCAAATTTCCCTGAGTGGGGGTGAGACCAAGCCCTGCACCAAGAGAAGAAGAGAGTCCTTTGACAGAGAGTGAAGAAAGAATTCAACACACGCGCCCAAGTTAGAGTCAAAAGGAAAGTTTATTAGAAAAGGGGTGACACTGCACAGAATGTGGTCTCCTCTCAGAGGTAGAGAGTGGGCGGGACAGTGCAAGAGACAGAGAGAGACTATAAAGGCACTGAGAGGGACTCAGAGTGTTCAGGGAATTCAGTTTATATGTCATTCTTTAGTTTCCCATTTCCTTTGATACAGTGAGGAAGGGGAAGAGTATCTAGAATGAAAAGGTAAGAATATGTAGAGTGAAAGGCCTGCTGGCAGTTTCTAGCCTTTAATCCATAGGTGGCCCATGGTTTTAGCCAGAGGGAATGACTCTATTCCTGTTTCCCCTGCACAGGGGTAGGGAATGGGCTGTTAGCAATCCCAGTAGAAAATCTTTCTTTGTTCTGAAGGTGTTCTCTTGGCCTGGCTGCAGGGCTAATCAGCATATTGCAGTCTCTGATTGTGGCTTGATTAACATTTTTAATTCTCTTGCCTCCTCCCTACATTTCTTCCAATGTACAAATCTGATTCTGTCACTTCACAGGTCCCTATAGCCCACAGAATCAAGTTCCAAGATCCTTCATGATTCTCTTTAACTCAATTCCAGGACAGCCCAAGAAAAAAAAATCTCTGACTTCCCAACCTCTTTATAATGTTCCAGACCTACAAAGAGGAGAAACCTCTCCTGGCTTCAACATTTTTCAGCTCTCAGCTCATGTTTTCACTCCCAGAGAAATCTCTGACTACACAAAGCCAGGTCTGAAATAACCAGACCTCAGGAAGCACTGTGTGCTTCCTTGTTACAGCTCTCACTTCACTCTGTGGATGTGTGTTTAATGGTTTCTCTCTCTTAGAATGTCTTTCCCAGCATGTTTGTTCCTTTGGGGCTAGTCACAGTGCATATGACACATCTCTATCTCCCTCAGTGCCTAGTGGCTGGTAGGTGCTCCAGGAAAAGATTTAGAGAGAAAGTGACCTTGGAGGGGGCCTAGAAGGATCCAGACATTGGAGTCTGATAATGTCCATTATCAGGCACAAGGTATAGGACTGAGAAGATTCAGAAGGAGGGAAGACATGAGCACATTTTGAGAACCTGGAATATCAATCTTGCTGAGGCCAAGGCTACTTATAGAAGAAAAAGTAGTCTTTAAAGATCAGTTTGGCATAGCCAGGAAGGCCTTGACTTTAATCTGTGGGCAGTGGGGAGCCACTGAAAATTTTTGAGCAGGGATAAGACATATGCTATGGGCATATACACCTAGTGGAAGATGAAGGCTAGATTGGAAGAGGAAAAACTAACTTTGGAAAGTTCAAGGGAAAAACAACTTTGATGATCTAGGTAAAAGAAATGGAAGAATGGGAATCCACTTAAGAAACATTTCCCAAGTAAAATAGATCAGAAAGTCTGTTGAGTAGTAGAAAGACTCAGGAGAGGAAGGCAGGGGAAATGCTTCCAGCCCACAATCAATTCTGGTGGGCCCTGAAGCTGATTGCTTCCTCCTCTTACTCACTCAGAGCCCTCCACTCTAAAATCTGGCCAATGGGAGGCTGAGATATCATGAGTGTGAAAATGCCTGGTAACCTGTAATGTGTGTGGGGATGTACCTGAGGGAGTGTGAGATGTCAAAGATATGTCTGGTGTCTAGGATAATAGCGATTGGAAGCATATGAGGAGGAACAGTTTGGGGGAGAGGATAGGGAGGGAATTGACAGGTTAATCTATCTGTTTCTTTAGTGTTGGCTTCTCTCTATTGAGATTTAGAAAAACCCTTGAAAAAGTTCCCAGGTTTGTTGGTGGGTTGGTGCCTTAGCTCCACTCAGCTACTGGAGGCTCCCTCTGTTTGGGTTCTGATCTGGAACAGGCTCAGTGTGATTGTTGAACTCAACTGAACTAAGACGTGGCCCCTAACATGGGCTCTTAACAATCTGCTCATAGAGAAGAGAATCTGACACAAGTAGTTAGATAACAATAGAAGATGGCACAGAATTAAAGACCAAGAAGAGAGAAAGGGAGAGAGCCTACTGTAGACAGGAATATAGAGAGGTTTCCTGAAGGAGCTGGGACAAAGGCATGGGTGAGGTTTGAGAAGCATTGCAAAGAAAGAGAACAGCCTGGGCAAAGGCCAGGAAATGGGAATGTGGGTGGCACATTTAAGGCATAGATAAAATAGTAAAAAATCAGGCTGGAGAAGTCAGTGAGGGGGCCCATGGTGAAGAGCCTTTAAGCCCAGGCCAAGGGCTTATTTTAATAGGCAAAGGGAAACCATTTAACATTTCCTGGCAAAGACATAACATACTACAAGATATTTCCGGAAGAAGGCTTTGGCTGCTGTGTGTAGGATAGATTGGTGGGGGAAAGCTGGAAGGCAGGGAACCCAGCCAAACGGGGCTTTCTGAAATAATCCTGGTGTTAAGAATCTGAAACAGCAATAGGAGTGGGAAGGAAGGGGTACAATTTGGGGATCTTTGGAAAAGGAATTGATAGGTCTTGATATGTCACTTGGAGCAGAGAGAAAGGATGATCTTTAAGTTTCCAGCCTGAAAAATGTTTCTGTAAAAGTTTATAATTTTGTTTTTAATAAAGGACATTTATTCAGGAGAAACAGAAAGCTTAGACATAAATAAGTACTAGCTACTCTAATTTAATGTTAACTATTAGTTAAAACTCAGAAAAGGAATCCAGGCCTCTGTCAACTCTTTCTTGAAATCACTGACATCCAATGTTCTCTTGTGGACAAAAAGACCAACAAATGTTGAGTCTCTTGAGGAAAGATTTTGGAATGAGACAGCAAGACAATCTTATTCTTATGTAAAACCCCAATACACTTCCACTGTGCCCTGAGCCTCTTTGAGGAAGGCACAGAGATGAAGGAGGCCCAGTTCCTCTCTCAAGGAGCTCACTAATTTGGTCTTTACAACCTTGTATAACCTTATTCTCACTTGACAATTGAACTGTGGTTAAGAGCACAGACTCACAGCTGTGATACTTTGAGCCAGTTATTAATCTGTCTCAGTTTCCTTGAAGTAAAAAGGAATAGTAATATCTACCTTATGGGGTTTTGAAGATGAAGTATTGTCAAAAGTTCAGAAATAGTGGAAGTAAAACCATTGGATCACTGAAATAGTAATTAGCAGAAGTTTATTGTACACATACACAGTTTGCAAACTGAGAGCACTCAGAACACAGAATGAGGCTGAGGGGTGTATTGTGATAAAGCAGCTTACACAGTGAGAAGGCAGTGGCTGTTTATTCTTCACAGTGATTGGTTATAAAATTAGAGTTTTCCTAGAGATAGAGAATGGGTTAAAAGTTGTTACCTCACATTCAGTTTTGAGGAATGGTTTAAGTTTTGTTTACGATTTTCATAGGTATTAACAAGAAGTGGCCTAAGTTCTGCTTGTTTTACGAGAATAAGCTAAATCAACTTTTGCTTGCATGACTAAACTGGTTTGTCTGCTCAGGGAATTTTCAAGTCTGGTCTCCATTTGTGTTTGATTTTAACAATGTGAAAATACACAACAGCGCTTAGCTCCATGTCTAGTGCAAAGTAAGCATTCATTTAGCCATCATTATTAAGTGGTGTGCAAAGCATTTACTATATGAACTTATTTACCCCTTTTCTTTCTTGTCCTCTAGCTCAACTTCCTCGCAGTGCCTCTACTTTGCTTTTCCTCCTTTGACCCTGAATAAATCCTTCTAATAACCTTGGGGCCCTGACCCCTTTGATCTTCATTCTCCTGTCTCTCCTTATCTTTATCTCTCATTTTTTTCTGGGCCCTCCCCTCTCTCCCCATACTCTCTGCCTTTGGAGTCTGGAGGCTCAAATTTGTTGTATGTCCATCGGCAATTAAACAAGTCATCTAACTGCTGAGTCCCAGTTTTCACATCCGAAAAATGAGCATGATAATGTCTGCTTTGCAGGATTGCTTTGTGAAGTAGACAAGATAATAAAGTGTAAGCGCTATGTACATTGTGCAGCACCTTATCAAAGCTAGCTACTGGCATCTCTCAACTCTATTCCCATTCATTCGCTTCCTTCTCTTCTGGGCCCTGCCCAACAGTGGGACTAAGAAATCCTTCGAATTGAAAGTTAGGACACATCCCAACCAGAGTGCAGATTTGCTGATTGTTCCCGCCTTCCACGCCTAAACGAACCAATCAGAGTGTCCGAAGAGTGACACAGTATTCCCCACTTGGAGAACACCTCTAATGGAACTTGCTTTTTTCTCCAGCCTTGCGACCAGCCTGTTTTCGCCTCGCACCGTAGCTGCTCGGCCTTGCAGGTGGGGTTCTTCTTTTCTCAACTCCCCAAGCCTTGACGAGTTGAACGGCGGGGGCCGGAAGTGTGCGCTGCAGCTTCAGGTCCCTAGCGAATCGACACCGGAAGTAGCCGTTGCTGGAGAATAATTCCGCCGGCATCGCTATGGCGGCGATCCCGCCAGACTCCTGGCAGCCTCCCAACGTATACTTGGAGACCAGGTGAGGGGGGTCGGGCCTTTGGGGCTGGGCTGGCGGAGGCGACGCAGAGCCCAGGCTTTGCCGCTGGGCTGGGTTCCTGGCGCGCTCCTTAGGAAACCGGCCTCGTGGAGAGGCGTGGAGCGGCAGCCGTGAGGGCTGAGTGGGGACCGCCGCTGTCCACGTCTGAGCTCCGCACCGACTCCGTACCCACTCCTCCGTTCGTTCGTTCGTTCGTTCATTCATTCATTCATTCATTCATTCATTCATTCAACAGTCGTGTTTTGAGTCTACCGGCCGGATCGTGGGATTGGCATCTGAAGATGCAGAAGTGGATAAAACACACATGGCCTTGCCTTTAGGAGCTTACAGTATAGTGAAGGAGACAGATATGTAAATATTAACGTGATAAGTAGCACAGATGTAACGTTGTAGGTACTACAGTTGTATAAAAAAATTATTAAGAGAACACAGGAAGAAGCACATTTCCCCCACTGTTGAAGAGTGGTATAACTGAGCACCAATCAGCAGCCAGTGTGGTGCCCCTGATGTATAGCATCACATTTAGTTTAATCCTCCTAGCAACTCAAATCGTGTAGGTGTTATAACACCTTTTCAACAATTTTATCATGGAAATGCCAAAACTTACAGATTAAATGGTTTAACTAAAGCCGCACAGCTAGTAAGTAGGGAAACCTCATTTGGAGCCTGATATGTCTGCTTCACATGCTAGGTTCTTCAGCCCTGTTCATTGCATTGCCTCTTTGGAAGAAGTTTTAAGTGATCTTTCCAAAGTAGAACAAATAACAGTAAATAACTTCTTACTGCTACAACACTATAAAATTAAAACTTTATAGTCTGACATACAAGATGATTTTCTTCAAACATCTTCTGCCATTTCCCCATCAGTAGCCAGGGTCCAGCCACCTTCTCTCTGTCTTATTTCTGTTCTTCCCTATGCTGTTTTCCACCAGAGCACAGTTTTATCAGCTGCTACTTCGGCTCCCAGGCATCTTCCCCACCTTCATATACGGCAATATTCTACCTCTTCAGGCCCCAGTTTGAGAGTAATTTCTGAGGTCATCTGTTAACATTTTTTAAAAACTACAAAGTAAATTGAAATTTAAATCCAAGCAGTGTACAAGTGTATAGAATAAGCAGTGAAAGCCACCCCTCCCTTTTAATAGTTTTTTGGATGATCTGCCAGATCTTTTCCTATGTATATTATATACATCTCTCTTTTATGTTCTATTTTTAAACAAAAATAGGATCACATACTGTATATATGTTTTCCACTGTAATTTGCCTTTCTTTCACTAATACATGAAGCCTTCCATAGTATGTATATTGCATATTTTAGTCATTCCCTCTTCGAAGGACATCTGTATTTTTTTTAAGTAACAAATACTGGAATGGACATCCTTGCACCTATTGTATCCTTCAGCACTTTAGTAAGTTTTTCTGTAGAATAGTTAGAAGTTGAAATTGCTGTTAAAAAGTTTGGACATTTCAAAGTTGTATGGGTGCTTCCTGATTGCCATTCCCAGAAGTTATTATCTGTATTTTAAAAATATCCACCAAAATGTAAGCTCAATGAAGGGAAAAGCACCTAGAACTGTGCCTTGCAGACTAATCACTAATCTGTGTTAAATATGAATTGTGTGAAGGATAAATTGCCAGCAGAAAGCTATGTTCTGGCACATATCACAAATACAGCGGGTCTCTCAAATAACATTTCATTCATTATCCTTCTTGTTGTTGAAAAAAAAGGAACAATTCCCAGCCAGGGCCACTGTCTCTGTGGAGTTTGCATGTTCTCCTCCTGTCTGTGTGGGTTACCTCCTGGTACTCCGGTTTCCTACCAAGTCCCAAAAGTGTGCATGTTAGGTGAATTAATGTGTCTAAATTGTCCTAGAGTGAGTGTGAGTGCACCCTGGATGGATGTCTTGTCCAGGGTTGGTTTGCGCCTTTTGCCCTAAGCTGCCTGGATGGGCTCCAGCCACCAGAGACCCTGAACCGGAATAAGCAGTTTAGAAAATGATTATCTTACTTGTTTTTATTAATCTTTCGTAAATGTATGCATAGCTCACATTGATGTCAGTGTAAAAAAGTAGAAATGTTTTGAGTATTTAGAAGTTTGGTGATGTTTTTATGACCAGAAGTATGCCACGGGAACTTAACTCTTGTTTGTATCAGTTAGCCTATGGTAAAATTATTTTCATTATACATCTCCTTACGCTAAAAGTTGCAGTTTCCAAGAACTTATCCATAACAATAGTGAGGAAGTATTTGTAGAGTGCTTACACTGTGCTTGACACTGGCTATTCAGGCTATACAGAGTTGACTCTATTTTCACATTCTGTTGTTTAAAGTTTAGGTGAGTGATGGAGTGGAGGGAAGGCACCTGTCCTACATCTTTTACGTCTTTTCCTTAGCAGTACTTTTGCAGGGGAAAGTGCTCATTACATTAGGTAGGTAGAAAGGTTTGTAGTAATCAGGTTTTGCCTGAGTTGCACCCCTTCCTAAATACACATGAACTGTACTTTTTTTTCCGTTAAAAATTTTTATGAATAGGTTAACATATTTACATCATTCAAAAATACACAAGTTTAAAAAAGATATTCATTAGACGTGGTTCCATAGAGTAGCGGTTAGCCTGTCTGCTTTACACGCAGAAGGTCCTGGGTTTGTGCACCAGTGGAGTCACTGGTCTATGGGCATGAACAAGCCTGATGTCTGATCTCAGAAGATAAGCAGGGTCGGGCCTGGTTAGTACTTGGATGGGAGACCACCTAGGAAGACCAGGTGCTGTAGGCATAAATAATAATAAAAAAAAATTAAAAAAATAAAAAGGTATTCATTGAAAACCTTCCTGTCCCCCATTTACCCAGTTTCCACCCCTACGCAGAAACCTATGCATGTATAAATAAATACGAATTTCTGGTATTTTAATGTCTTCCTTTAAAAAAAAATTACAAATTAAGAATAAGATCCCCACCCCCTCACCCCCAATTTAGAGGCTGGTTATATTAGTTTCTGATTGGATTATTTTTATATATAAGCTGTCAAAATTTTTAGTTGTCCACGATTATTTTGCTTAAAAGAAGTACCAGAAGCTGCCTCTGCACATTTTACTCAAAGGAGATAACTGTGTTCGTGTTATTTGCATTGTGTTGTTTTCCTTTGCTGAGCATGAAATCGGATGTTTACCACAATTACATGACTTACAACTTGAAAATGAAGAGTCTTGGAGCAGTCTCAATATTCCTGTCAGATGGGACCTTGTTCTTGACTGGAGCTCTACTGTCCTCTTCCCCCTGCAGCATGGGGATCATTGTGCTGGAGCTGTACTGGAAGCATGCTCCAAAGACCTGTAAGAACTTTGCTGAATTGGCTCGTCGAGGTTACTACAATGGCACCAAATTCCACAGAATCATCAAAGACTTCATGATCCAGGGAGGCGACCCAACAGGGACAGGTACAGTTAAGACAACATTAGTTTCTGAAGTTTCATTCTGTCCTAACTGGGTGTGAGGCAGTCAGGGCTCTCTTCCACATAACAGGGACTAGGTTAGTGATTCTGGTGACTATTACTGCCCTCTGTGCCCTCTGTAGCACACACCCTTCCCCACACACCCATGCGAAATTGACCATAACTAATCTTGACTCCTTGGCTTTATAGAGTTTCTCATAACTTCTATGTATTGCTTACTAAGAGCAAATAATATTTGCCTGAGTTGTAGTAATATATAGAGTAGTCTGATAATCAGAAGTAAAGAAAGACATTTGCAATGTTTTGAGAAAGGTATAATACTGTTGGGTTTTTTTTTTTTTTTTAATTAATTCATTCATTTAACAAATATTGAGTACCTACATTGTGTCAGATACTTTTCTAAGCTCTAGGGATATAGTCATGAACAAAGAAAAGAACTTCCTGCTCTCAGTAAAGCAAGAAAGGGATGTGGGGATGCAGTTTTAATAGAAAGGTCAAGGAGGTCCTCTCTGAGTAGATGTTATTGGAGCAGAGACTTTAACGAAGTCTAAGTAAGTGGAGGAAAGAGCGGGCCCAGAGGCTATGAGGCAGGAGCCTATGCAGGAGATCATGTGGGACCTTTTAGGGCATGTTAGAGACATTAGGTTTTATTCTGAATAAGATGGGAGCCATGAGAGAGTTTTGAGTAAAGGAGTGACATGATCTGACCTATGCTTTAAAAAGATCACTGTGGCTGCTGTTCGGAGAATAGATAGAGGGGCAAGAGTGAGAGCTGGGAAAAGAAGGCTGCTCTAATCATCCAGTTCAGAAATAACGTGATTGGACTAGGCAGATAGTAGAAAAGGTGGTGAGAAGTGACTGGATTGAGATGATGTTTTGATAGAAATAGAGCCAATGGGATTTGCTGAGATTGGATTAAGGGGTGGGTAGGTGTGAAAGAGAAAGAGATAGTAAAGAGCATCTTCAAAATTTTTGACTTGAATTTAGTGAGGTGGAGAAGGCCAAGAGAGGAACATATTTGGAGGGAGAAGATTAAGGATTTGATTTTGGTTTGGACATGTATTTGAAATACTTGTCAGATCTTCAAGTAGAGATGTTGAGTAAGTAATGGGATATGAGTGTGGAGTTCATGGAAAAAGGTCTGAGATGGAGGTATGAATTTGGGAGTTATTGTCATTTAGATGGGATTTATTAGTGAAATTTATTAATTTATTAAGTTATTAGTTTAAAGGGCCATTACTTCTCAGTCTGCATTATTTTTCTCGGCTAATTCCTGTTCCTGCTCTTTGCCTTTAAATAAGCTTGGTTCTCTCTGTGGCAGAGAGTCTTTTCTTAGTCTTGTTCTTTTTTGTCATTCTCAGTTCTTTATTAAGCCTTTATGACCAGAGGCATTCAATTTTTTCAACATATATGGACACATTTCAAAATATAGAATATATGAGAAAGTTAAAAAAAAATCACTCATAAGTATACCTCCTAAAGATTTCTAAGCACCATTAAGTATTCCCTCAATATCCCACCTCTCCTCAGAAATGATCATTGTTAACTTTTGGCGGCCATTATTCTAGACATTAGCCTTTTCAGATACCTAGTTAAAAGGATAGATGGATGAATAGCTAAATGGAAATAATTTCAAGAGAATAGGAGGTATCATGCATGCTATTGTTTTTGAAAACAAAAAGTATTATATTAAAACTTAGAGCATTTGTTGGAGTTTACAACATTTTCCATTCTATATCCATGATTCCTTCAGCGACAGTATGGGTTCTACATTTCAGAAGGTTGGTGCTCACCACTAGACTTTTCTATTCATAAGTGCTAGCAGGCAGAATTTCCTGTCGAGTGGTTTTTATTGCAAGAGTTGAAGGGTGTTATATTTTTAACTCAATCATGTTTGAGAATTTCTGCATGACAAAGACCGTGACTAGGTATATTATTCCTGGGCCGTACTCATTCCCTCAGATCTTTTTAGATACTTCTGTTCTATCACCTGGTTTTGAACATGGCTTTGGAGAATACTGAGATTTACTACTTCTGTCAGTTCAGGGGAAATTTTTATTTGTATTTCTGAATATTTTCTCTGTTATTGGATTTTCTATTTCAGGAAACTAGTTATCCTTTTTTCTTTGTTTCATCACCTTTGCCTTCCATATCAATCACATTTCTTTTGAGTGTCTGAGATGATATTTTTCCATTTTTTCCTGCAATGACTAAAATAATCTCAGACCTTTACCTTTATTCTGTGCCTTATTCAATTTCTAGTCATGTCTGTTCTGTTCTTTACTGCTCTAATTTATTTATTAGTGCTGTATTGATGTCATTTGGCTCTAAATTGGTTTCCTTAGCTCTGCAGTCTTTGCCTTCATCTGTTGATGTATTATCTTGTCTTTGAGCGCTTGTTTTATTGGATTCTTAATTTTATTGAAGCATCTATAGCCTGAGACAGCCACGGAGAAGCCCTTCTTGGATTATGTTTTCTCAGAGACTGAGTTCCTGAAGTGGGCTAGGAAGCCAGTGCCTCTCCCCACAACCTTCTCAAGGTGGCCAGCACTGGTAGCCCATCCTGTCACTCCTGAGTACCTGTGGTATGTGTGGACCTTTCCTTAACTTTTTCAGGGCTACTCACCCATTCTCTCTGTTGGCTTCTCAAAATTGGAGGATATTTCTGAGAATTTCTGGGTGACACTCTTCCTTTCCTAATTATAATTTTTAGGGAGTACAGGCAGGTAAATCTTTTATTTCTTTCCTTGGCTGACTCTTTTCAGAATTTTTGGAGTAAGTTGGTTTCCTTTTTCTTATTTGGTTGATTCTAGTGAAGCTTTGGCTTTTTAAATTTGAATTTTTTGTGTTTGCTTTATTTTTTGTGTATTCTTTATCTGAAAGTGTCCTGCCTCAGCTTTGATGTACTTCTGTCCTATCTCCTTCTCTTTCATTGTTATTATGAGATAACATCTTAATTCATAACACCAGTGAACTGAGAGAGTCCATGATTTGGGTAAAAGAATTGGAAGTGACTCAGTGTGAATTGCTCATGCCAGAGCTTCCCTATATTTCTGTGGTTGTTCTCAATCCTTCATAATGTCACATTTTCAGGATGTAATTTTAATAAAATTGAATCACTCAGAAGATTTCCAAATAATTGCATCCAGCCTCAAATATAATCAATGATTGCACTAAGCCTGCTGGCAGGTCTATAGTTGAAGGCAAACAGGCGTTAGGCCCTCCCAGGCCACTGATATAAACTGCTAGCTGATTAAGTAACACGTTTTTGCTAAAAATCTCAGATGAGCAGTATATGGCATCCTGGGCTCTTCGGCAAGACAGTGCACCATTTCCATCCTTGGCTGCCCCTCAGTCTGATGGACCCATTCTTTCCATGGTCTTTCTGATACATATGTGCCATACGCTTTCTTAATTCAAATACTTTCTGACTTCCTGCCTCATTTTAAACCATTTCTCTTCTTGTACATTTCCCTTATTGTAATACCTTTATGCTGGCTCTTTACTTAGCCTTCTCAATGTCTTTTATCTGCTTCTACTAACTTCTCTTTCTTTCTTCCCTGCAACACACAGCATCCTATCCAGCTCCTCTTTTTGCTCTTCCTGCTCTGCACTTAGCCTCACAGTGCTCACTAGCTGTCGTGATTGCAGTGATTAATTACGTGCTGATTATGCTGTGTGTCACCCTCACTCTGGTTTCATCTCTCCTCTTGGTAGCCTCAGGAACACCTGAAATTTAATGTGTTGAACAGAAAGCTCATTGTTAATTTTATTCATTTGATGAATATTTGCTAGGTCTTGTGCTATTCTAAGGCCTGTGAGGGGCACTTAAACATTAAAAGTCAAGGCATTTTTCTTTTCCTTGCAGAACTCCTCACCCTGCTAAGAAAACAAGATAGTCATTATAAGAAATATCTAGAAAATAATAATAAAATAAATAAGTAAATATATGGTGGTATATTAGGGATTATTATATAACATAGGTTGAACTAATTAATAATAAAAAAAGTACAATGGAATGGGATTAGAATGAGAAGGAAGTGTATTTTGAGGTGGGCCTTGAAGGAATGTAGAATTAACTCTTAGGAGGACAGGGAAGGGCATTTTGTATTTAGGAAGAAGAATGAGTACGGAACGGAGACATGAGGGACAGAGGCATGTGGGGTGTGAAGGAGAGCTGACCACCCCAGGTGTTATGTCTCACCCACTGTACTGGCTCTGTGACGTAACCCAGCCACCTCTCCACACCCAGGACAAATGCAGAAGATGTGATTTCTAAGGCCTCTGAACTGCATGTTTGGGGGACAGTAAAGGAGCAATTTGGGGTAGAGTGCAGTTGTAGGACATAGTATGGTGGCGGGTAAGATGGGGCCAGTTTATGGAGACTCCTAGACAGGAGTTCGAATTTAACATTATTTAGGGACCGTTAGGGACTCTAGAGTCTGTGGTAAGAAAAATATGTGAGGAAAAATGTGTGAGAAAATATGTGAGAAAAATATGTAATCCAGCCATAGACATATGGTAAGGTAATGTAGTAAGGGCGTGAATAGCAGGGTTTGCAGAGCCTGGGGTAGGCTTGGGGTTGAATCTTGGCTTCACATGAACACTTATTAAATGTAGACAAGTTATGTAACCTTGCTGAGCCTTCTTATCTATAAATGGGGAGTGTGGTTATATGCAACTCATGGGGTTGTTGTGGGTAGTAAATAAGCTCATTTTCATAACATGGTTAGCACTGGCTTGACACAATAGGAGCTCAAAAAATATATGGTTATTATTTATTTTAGTTATTAGTTCATTTAACAAATGTTAGTCTCCTACTATTGTCCAGGCATTGTTCTATGAGAATACACTAGTGAATAAGAAAGCCCTTGTGGAGCTCTCATTCTAGTGGGAGAGACAATGAACAAATGAGTACGTAATATACTGTCAGGTCGTGACAAATGGTATGGAAGAAATGACGTATAAGGGCATAGAGCAGGAAC